ATATTCCAGGATCTGATAGAATACCAATTGACGTATTTCAACAAATAGATGCTGCCCTGGACATGCTCACCAGGTTGTGCCAGAAAATTGGGAGGACAACTACCTGGCCAATTGGAAGAGTTCCATATTTATTTCCATTTCAAAAAAAGGGCACCTGACAGAGTGTGGAAATTATCGTACAATATCACTAATATCACACACTAGCAAAATCCTGCTGAAGATTATCCAGAAATGACTGAAACAGTACATTGACAGAGAACTACCAGAAATACAGGCTGAGTTTAGAAGAGACTGTGACACTAGAGACATTATCGCCAATATCAGATGGATTGACAGAAAGCAAAGAGTACCAGAGGGAAATCTGTCATTGACTATGCAAAGGCATTTGACTGTGTGTATCACAACAAATTGTGGTTAACCTTGAGGAGAATGGTAATCCCAGAACACTTGATTGTGCTGATGCAGAATCTATACTTGAACCAGAAAACAAGCCTCAGAACAGAAGACAGAAACACTTTATGGTTCGAAATCAGGAAGGAAGTGTGTCAGGGATGCATCCTGTCTCCTATAAAAAATACCTTTTCAATCTTTATGAAAAACATCATTGGGAGGCTGGGCTTTAAGAGGGAAAATGTGGCATCAAGATTGGAGAAAGACTCATCAACAACCTACACTATGCAGATGACACAACCTTGCTTGCTGAAACTGCAGAGGACTTGAAGTGCTTGCTACAGAAGGTCAAGAACTGTAGTCTTCAATATGGATTGAAGCTCAACATCAAGGAGACCACTGGACCAGTTGGCAGCACCATGATAGAAAAGAGATTGAGGTTGATGACAGTTATGCCTTGCTCGGCTCACAATCAACACTCTTGGCACCAGCAGCCAGAAAATCAAAAGACAAATTGTATTGGGTAAATCTGCTGTTGGGCACCTTCCATTGTACTGAGAAGCAACAGTGTCAGTCTAGAGACCAAGGTGAACCTGATCCAGGCCATGTTCTTTGCAGTTACTTGCTATGCATCAGAGAGCTGGACAGTAATTAAGGATGACATAAAAAGAATCAATGGCTTCAAATTGTGGGAC